GGGGCCCAGGACCGTGCACGGATTCCTTGGGAAGTCCCTCTTGGTGACCTGCACATACGAGTTGGGTCAAGAGATGCAGCCAAAATTCTGGTGCAATCCGAGCAAACAGGGAAGTATTTATACCTGTGCTGAAGACCTCGTCATCACCTCGGAGCAGCAGCCCATGGTGCAGCAGGGCCGATACTCCATCTGGGACAATCGCACACTGCGGAGGTTCACAGTGACTGTGCAGAACCTGGCCAAGGAGGACGCAGGCACCTACCGCTGCGGGGTGCGAACGGGCTGGCTGTCTCGTGACGACAGTGACGTTGTGAAGGTGTTCGTGTCCCCAGGTCAGTACTTGTGGGTCCCCCAGGTCCCGCACTGGTGTGTCCCCCTGCCAGTGCTGGGAGCGGGGGCTGCAGGGACAGGCAGCCTGGGAGAGGTGGGTGCCCAGGCCCCGTGGGGCAGCCCCAGGACGTGTCACCAGAGCTTGGCAGGCTGCTGCCATCACCCATTCCCCGTGCCCACCTCTCACCCCGGCTCCTTCTTGATGCCCCACGGTCAGCCATTCCCATTGCTGCGGACTCTGTGCCCTGTTTTCCCCTCTCATCAGACCCTGCCAGCCCTGTCTTTGCTCTCCTTGCCTTATTTCATAACACCAGTGAGTTCCTCACCCCTCTACGCCGCCCCACTTCCCGCTGTGGGGGCACAAGGCTCTGGGCTTAGGGAACGTCCCTCTCCATCCCCTCACCAGGGACCAGCCCCTGCACTGGGCACTCGTATGGGACTGTCCTGCAAAACCCACCACGTTTTCCCCTGCGGGGGTGGGGATGCTGACCGAGCCTCTCTTTTGTTACAGTTCCTTCTTCCGCCTCCCCGGCATCACCCTACACGCCGACCACTGAGCCCCCTGATTTCACTACCTCTGCGTCAGTCCCCACACAGACAACTCCCCCGGGGAAAGCCGTGCCGCCGGGATCAAACCTCTCCCACTACGAAGGCTCCAGCACTCCACGGTGAGCACCAGCTCCTGCCCGCAGCAGCCACCTCCCTCCATGAGGTCTTTTTGGTGCAGCTGGAGCCCTGTGACCCTCCAGGCTCTTCACACTTCCCTCAGGGATCCGAACCTCCTGCTTTCACCTTTAGAGATCAGCGTTTCATCCTCTCGGCTAGCCACTCTGTGTGGAAAATAATCCCAGCACCTCTGGTCACTCATCCTGCTTGTCCCCTGTCCCTCTTGCAGCTTAAGCAAGGTGCGGGTTCTGGCTGCAGCATCAACCCCTCTTTCTTCCCCAAAAACTCAGAGGGATCTTTTGCTTGTGGGAAACTGAGCACTGGGCTGGGTCATGTTCTGCTTTGTAGTCCCCCACAGCCATGCAGCGATGGCTGACAAAGCACCAGACGGACTGGGACTGGCAGAGCTCCCTCCCTCCCTCCTCTCTTGCCCCTTGGATGTGCCGCAGAAGCAGGTGAAGCTGAGGCTTCCCGTCAGCATGCTCGGGAAGTGGGCACAGCCACCTCACCTGGCTGCCCTGTTACAACCAAGTCAACAGAGTGGAGATGAACCAGAGCAAAATTAGGTGCAGGAACTGATTCTTGAAATAGGGAAGATGCAGCAGCTCTCAGACCCGAGTGTCCGTTTGCTGCCGCAGCTTTTGGTTTGCTTTGCCCCGTGCCCAGCTTGCAGCCTGACTGCCCCCACGCCGGCTTCCCTTCTTCCCAGGGCAAGCCCCGTCGCCCACAGCCACTCCCTGCGTGCTGGCTCTGTGCCGGTTCCTCCCAGGTCTGCTGCTGAGAAGTGTGAGGACAGAAACTTTTTTTCTTGCAGTTGGGACGTGGTTGAGCACATCCTTACTCCGTGCATCGCAGTGGTTCTTCTTTTGCTTGTGGTTGCTGCTGGCGTTTTGGTAATGCTGTCCAGGAGGAGGAAAAAGGGTAAAAACACACACTGTTCCTGCACCAGAGCCCCTCGGCTGCTATATTCGTCTTTTCCTCTCTATTTCTGTTTTTCTCCCCCATTCCCTCCCTGATCCATCCAATTCCTGAGTCTGTCACTGAGACCTCCACCAAGGAGGTCTCCTTCTCCCGAGGCAGTGGTGGGACTGTCCCACGGGTCTTATCCCTACGGCATCAGGGAACGGCAGCTCTCAGGATGGGTGCTGCCCGGCACAGCATCCACTTGGGTTTGGGCACCGTCAACTTCTGCCGACGTGTCCAACTCCGTAGGCTAGGCTTGTGCTGGGCTTGATGCAAAGCTAAAGGCCAGTGTGAAGGACAGGGAGGGATGGGAGGGGACATCACCAGCTGGCAGGTGGGCTCTGGTTTTATTTGGAGAACTGCTCCAGTTTAGATGGTTGATGGGGCAACGCGTTCCCTGGTGAGATTCACAGCGGCAACGCAGTTACTTAATACATTTCTTTTCCTCTTGTTTCACTCGTGTCTAACCACATCCGTGCTTCGTGCAGCCCTCTCTGGAGCAGCTGTAGAGGTGGACAGGACACGCTGTGCATCACATACGGTAAGGCAAACTACACAAGGTCTTGGGATGGTGTGTTCCGAGCTCGCCTGGAGAGGGGAAAATCACAGCCTGAGCTGAACACATGAGCTGTCGGAGTCATTTGGTCACAGCTGGCTTCATGGCCCTTTGGGCTGGGAGGGATCCTTTGGGCTTGGTTTGACAACAGAAAGACCCGACCAGGGATTTTGTGTGACTATGGCAGAGTATTTCTGGGAAGAGAATTTAGGATTGAGCTGAGGAGTTTCTCCCTGAGCCCCTCCAAGCCCCGGAGCTGCTTCTCTGGATGAAACAGTCTTGGGAACCTGCAGCAAAGCACACCCGAGGGGGCTGCGGGGCAGCTGCTCTTCAGTCACTGCTTGGGAAATGTTATCTCAGGTTTGCTGCCAGCTTTCGAGGACGGGCTGGTGTCATGAACCAGATTTCCCTTGGGAAATGTTGAGGCAGCGTTTGCTGCAGCTTGAATTTTCCCCCCAGTGCTCCTGCAGCCATCTCAGCTCCCATCAGGAAATGCAGCAGGATGGGAGATGTTCCCATCCCTGTGGGCTGCAGGCAGCAGCTGCAGGCAGGGGAGCAGCAGCAGGTTAGGAGCTCATCCCTCTCCTTCATGTGCCAGAGAGCGGATGCCTTGAACTACGCAGTCATTAACCACCGCGAGAGCCAGCTGTACAGCAGTGCCGAGGCTTTCCGCTGCTCGGCAAACAACGCAACCGAATACACGGAGGTCAAGCAGAGCAACAAGGTAGGAGAACGCAAAGCAGCGCTGGGATCAAGATGGGTGGAAAGCCAGAATGGGTGGGCAACGGCGTGGGCAGCAGGATGGGTCAGGTGGGTAGGGAGGGGGCTGCAAAGGGAGATGCCAAGCTGGGGTGCGAATGACCCTGGATAATGTGGGTGCCCTCTCCGGTCCCCACGGCTGCTCCTGGGTGCTTAAAGCATCTGACAGAGGTGCTGCCCTGGAACGACTCTGCAAAGGATGCTTTTTGTTTATCCCCCTCCTTTTCCAGTGTTTGGAAGAGAAAAAAGAGGCTACATATGCCAGCATGCGGAAGGCCCTGCCAGAGCAGCAGGAGATCTACGCCAATGTGCTGCCAGCCTCACAGCCCAGAGGAGAGCCCTGCAGCACGGTGTGGGGCATCTGAGCCGGCCCTGGCCCCACAGGCTGCTTCTGCTGCTGGCAGCACCAGCAGGACACGCAGGGAGGGCTGGTCTGGCTTTCTGCTGGCTCGATAGACGAGCTGCTGCTCTTTTAGGCTTGGACATGTCCTCAGAGCAACCTCAGAGAGGGTAAGGTTGAGCAGGAGGTGTGGAGAGGGGTTAGGATGAAATCATCCCTGTGCATTTGGAGACCTCAGCGGTACAGCAATGGTGCTGGAAATAAAAAACTGTCCCTTGTATTGAGGCAGCCCAGGCTGGGGACTGGCCAGGATGTGGAAGAGCCTGGCGGTGGGAGGTGAGGGTGGGCTGGGGGCTGCGGGTGGGCTCCCTGCACCCAGCACCCACCCTGCTTGCCCCTTTGACTGCATTATTCACGTGGGCTGAAGCTCCCAAACTGCTGGTGGCCTCAGACTGACTCTTTTTCGTGCCAATGTTCTTCTCTGCTTTGCTGATAATTTATTTTCTGGCACTCATTAAAAACATTCTTCTGATAAAGTATCGCTCCTTTATCAGTGACGGCAACTGAGAATCTGACAGGATCTAGCGCCGTATTTGGCTGTATTTGTTCGGCAGTTTTCCATCTCACTAAAGGGTTTATTGTCGGGTGTCACTCCAAAAGTGAGTCCGGCCCCTCGCTGGTGCCCAGGCGGACTCCAGCAGCATGGAAACTCAGATCTTTCAGGGCAAGGACTCAGCCCCTCCACCACGAACCTACAGCCGCACCGCTGGCTCCTGCGGCACTGCTCCCCATGGGATGTCCCACGGGCCATGCTTTGGGCACGCTCTTGTCCCAAGTGCCAGTGCCCTCCTCCATGTGTTTTCCCTCTGCCCCTGCCCAGCACCGGGCAATTCATCCATCCTTACAACCCACTCCCCTAAAAAACAGGTCACGGGGGGTGGGCTAAGTTTTGAGGCTAAGTGGAGTGTGTTTCAGGGGTTCATTTGGAGAGAGTTCGTTATCTTTGTTAACCGCTGCAAAGCTTTGTTTCAGTATTTTTGTCATTATTTTATTCGAGAAGCCACGTGGAGCATCCCTGCTCTGCCAAAAACCAAAGGCAGCTGGAAGTAAATGTCTGTGGTACGACAGTTGTGGTTATTCCTACAGGTTATTCCTATATAAGCTTATCTTCCTACATAAGTAAAAGTCCTCCTGTGTTCCATCAGGAGGTGGGATTCCTCCTTCCCACCCTGGAATGAAGCTGGACTCCAGAGGAGGGAGCACACGGGGAACAAACAGTGAGGGTGCAGACAAGCATCACTGCAATTTGCAGAGAAAACCTGTGTCCAGCCGGATTCCAGCCATTTCTGGGAAAAAAAAAAAGAAAGTAAAACCCCTGCACCCACACAGCCAAACTTTTTCTGCCACAAATTTCATGTGGAACAGGGGAAAAAAAAAGAAAATCACATATTGCTCCTCCTGCTCCAACATTTATTACCGGAGATAATAACACCCCTCTCTGAAGGAGTCGGGCGGAGATATTTTTTTTTAGGTAACTGGATCCCATTATGCCGTATCTGGAGGTAGTTTTTGTGCTTTAAAAAAAGAACTAAATGGCTTTCTTAAATTAAACCCCTCACTGCAGTGCTAAGGCAGAAATAGCCACCGGCTACGTGACGGGGGAGCGCGGGGTGGGATCTTTGAGGCGTGCAAAGGTGGGGTGTTCAGCAGCACCTTCTGCAAGAGCCATTTTGAGCACCAAAGTTTTAGTATCTGAAGACTTTCAAGCTCTCTCGGGTAATTTCAAGAGCATAAGAAATTTGCCTTTTCTCCAGTGTCAGTGGCGTTTCAGGGCAGCTGCCTGGACAACAGAAATAACGCCTGGCAGGTGAAACCTCCGCCTTTTGGTGTTGGAAGGGCTGAGTCCTGATGGAAATAGGGCTGGGAGCAGAAAACCTGAGCTCTTCCATGCACATGGTTCCATGCAAGTGGTTTTGCCTGGTGAGATGAGTGTTCTCTTGCCGCCTCGGCAGCGGGCTGGCCGTGCGTTATCCGCAGGGAGGGCCCATCCTTCCATGCGGAGAGCTTTTTCCTGCTGCTATGGAGATGCCGAGGCAGTCCTGCAGCTCTCGGCCGTTATGGGCATGGCCCAAAGTTCTCCTGCCCAAGGGGAAGGTCCGCTGGAGCTCAGCGGGCAGCACGAAGCCCTCCTGCAGCCCCTCTCAGCCAAACCTCTTCCCATTAAAACCCTCTGGGCAGTTGGGGCCGCACCGTTCGCCCCGCTCTATCTGCAGCATCTGCCCAGGAAGCTCCCAGGAGGACATGGAGCTGCTATCGGCACCCACACACTGCTTCCTATTTCCTTTGCCGAAATACTTCCCCCCCGGCAGCGGGGGAGGCAAGGGGCTACTGGCAAAGCCGTGCTTCCTTACGATGAGGGTCTGCTGCTGGCACAGCTCTGCCCTAGAGCTCAAGTTCCATCCCGGGGAGCTCACCCAGAGCTCTTCTCACTGCGTGAGTGGGTGTCCTGAAAGAGGTTTTCAATCTTTTCAGGTTTTATTGCAGCAGAAACAGGAACGGGGTAGGTTTTTTTTTTCTTAAAGCAAGCTTGGCAGCGGGATGGGTTCGTGCAGGAGCCCCTGCTCTGCCCACGCCTTCGCGCAGGTGTTTCCGGCCATCGGGGCTTCTCTCGCTCTGACAATCATAGAACGGTTTGGGTGGGAAGGGACCTGTTAAAGGTCCCCCAGTCCAACCCCCGTGCCATCAGCAGGGACACTTTCCACTAGATCAGGTTGCTCAGGGCCCCATCCAACCTGACCTTGAGTGTTCCCAGGGATGGGGCATCTGCCACCTCTCTGGGCAACCTCGGCCAGTGTCCCACCACCCTCACTGTAAAAAATTTCTTCCTTGAAGCTAGTCTAAATCTCCCCTCTTTTAGTTTAAAACCATTCTGGTGGCTTTGGGGCAGCAGCAAACTTGGCACTCGCTCCTGAGAGCCCAAAAAGTCTCCTCTGCCAGCACGGGGGGCCTGGCGGTACCTCTCGCTGCCGAGAGCTCCCTGAGCAGCATTGCGGGGCCGGGGGGCTCCCCGGGCTCAGCAAGGCCTTTGCACGCTGCCTGCGGGGAGCAGCGGAGCTGTGAGCACCCGGTGAGGGCACCGGGCCCTGTGCCCAGCCCCAGAACTGGCTGCGAGGGAACCACGGAACCCAGCGGCCGCGGCTGGGTTCCTCCGTGGGACACAGCACCTGTGTGCGCCTGTGCACACCCCTCCGTGCTCACAGGCACGTGCACACACACGTACACAAATGCCCGCATTACACACGTGCAGGTGTACGCACACATCCTGAGGCACACCTGCACACTCTGGTACATGTGAACGTGTACGTGCACTGCCCTGTACACACCAGTACCTGCACACCAGTGTGCACACACATGTGGACACCCAGTGGACACAGGCACACACTGCATTGCACACACACCCGAGCACTGCCCAGCATGCAGAAGCACGCACGCACCCCAGCGTGCACACCCAGAAGCACGTGCGCATCCTGCTGCTCACAAGCACATGTAGACCCCAGGGCACACATGCACAACCACGTGCACACCCTGCTTGCACAGAAGTATAAGCACGAATACTGACATGCTCCAGCGCACGCATGCACGCAGCCCGTGGTGCATGCACGCACACACAGGCACACATGCACGGCCATATGCACAGAAGGACGCCCCACAGCACACTGATCCACATGCATGCACGTGTGTGCACACACGCACGAACACACCCCCCCGTGCACACCAGCAGAAGCGCATACACTCACGGTACACACGTGCACGGGCACGTACATGGATGGGAACACGCACACCCCTG